GTGTTCATTTCTAGGAAGGAATTCTGGTATTGTATATATTTCAGGATGGACATAAAGAAACAGAAATGTAGTCAGAATAAAAATGATCAGGATTTTGATGAACATTGTGATTATGACAAAGACAAATTGAAGGAACTTGGCCTGAAGAAAAGAAGAAAGTGAATGCTTACGATCATCTATGAATATTTAAAGGTCTATTACAGGTAAGATGTATTACATTTGTTTTGCTTGACCTAAAAGGTAGAATTAGGAGTAATATGTGGAAATTTCAGAGAGACACATTTGACTTTGGTGTAAGGAATATATATGTATATATATATTTTTTAAATATCAGAACCTTGCAAAATAGGCCATATTAGTGGGTATTGAATTCCTCACATTAGCATCCTTAAAGAAAAAAACTGAATGACTGCTTCATCAGGATGACGTGATAGATTTGTGTACAGGTACAAGTACAGGTTAGACTAATAGCCTCTGAGAGCCTTTCCAATTCTGAGATTCTAGGGTTTTGTGACACTATGCTTAAGTGGAGTATTGGTATAATGGATACTGCCTTGGACTTGAAGTCCAGAGAAAATGGGTTCGAGCCGCAGTGCTGGGATGCTTACTAAACTATATGACCTTCAGCAAGTTATTAAACTTTTCTGAGCCTCTGTTTTCTAATCTGTAAGATAGGGATAATACTGTTTGCATAATCAGTATCTTAGGTTGTCAGAAGGAAAATGCTTTGAAAATCTAAAGTAGCTATAAAAAAGTGAGTTATGGTTATTGTGATAGATTGTATTAATTTATTATTCAGATAAATTTTAAAACACTTTACATCTCCTTCAAAATGTATCTTATTGCAGAATATTTGGGAAACTTAGCTATGCTCTTCTTGTGAATCATTTAATCTGTTCCATATTTCCAATATTATAGAATACTTTTGAAACTTTGTAAGACATCTCACTAAACTATATTATATTATTTTATTATCTATAACTCACTGTAATGACATAGTATAATGGCTCTTATACTATCCTACTATCCATTAGGTGTCTTGATTTACTGACTATTTATGTGCTAAATGAATAATATAGGAAATAGTGTAAATATAGGAAAAAAAATTCCATTTATGTGACATGCACTAACAGCTTTGATAAGAATCATGATGCTGCAGTGTGCATCTGCATTACTTAAATAGTTTTTGTTCCCACATGAGTTCCTATAACTTAAGAATAGGTAAACTTATTCAAGGCAAATTTTTGTAACATGAATTTATTCATGGACCAAATTCTTTATGCTTTTGCACACAGTCCACGTTTCATTTTTTTATATGAGAAACCCAAGGTGAAATTGAGTGAGCTGCCATTTCATTAGCAGCATTTACACTAACTATTCAAATATGTGGGATGACAAGAGTATGAGAATTTTATTCTTCCTTCTTCAAATCTCTTTTCTATTTTTCCTAACTTCATTGTATACAGAAGCCTAGGTTCACAGTTAATAAATAAGGAAGAAACTTTAGAGATGACCTAGTTCTAATTTAGGATTTTATATAAGAAAATGAGGTATGGAAATGTTAAGTGACTTGCTCAATGTCACACAACCAATACATAATAAACTTGCAATTCAGACACATGTTACTGAATCACAGAATTACAGAATTTCAGGATCAAAATGAGATTTCAGCATTGGAACTCTGACGTACTCGCAGGTCATATACACCAAGATATAGGAATATGATAGAGTATGCTATTCCTGGCCTGTGTTATTCATGCTATTCTTGTATTCCAGACTTTCAAGCCATGGCCCTGCTGCTGTGTCATCAGCAAATGGGGCCTCTTATCCCCATTCGCTGACTCATTCCATTGGTGAGTTCTTCAGCCTTCAACCTTCATTCCTTCCCCTCCTGGCCCAGCTCCTGGCTTCCAGACTTCAAAAACATTTTCTAGTGGGAGTACGTGGCACAGTGGATAGAGCACTGGGTTTGGAATTAGGAAGATTCATCTTCATGAGTTCAAGTTCACCCTCAGACATTTACTAGTTGAGTGATACTGGGCAAGTCACTTAATCCTGTTTGCCTCAATTCTTCATCTGTAAAATGAGCAGGAGAAGGAATTGACAAAGTACTCCAGTATCTCTGCCAAGAAACCCCCTGCCCCTCAAAAAGGGGTCACTAAGACACCACTGAAATGAGTAAACAACAAAAACATGAGGAATACTTTCATTCTCTCCTCACCTCCTGCCCCACCATGTTTCAGCCCGCTCTTTTGTCTTTGTGTATTGTGTGTATTGTATTAGAGTACAACCTTCCAGAGAACTTAATACAATGTCTGGCACATAGCATGCATTTAATAAATGTTTGTTACCTTCCTTCTTTCCTTTCTTCTCTCAAATAGAAATACCCTCAATAACATACCAGATATGTGGTTATCTAACCCATAGTTAAAGACCTCTAATCAGGGAGAACTTTCTCATTTAACTTTTGAAAAGCTTTAATTATTTAGAAAGTTATTTTTCTTTACATCAACTCTAGATTTACCTTTTTGCAATTTCAATCCCCTTGTTCCTAGGTCTGCCCTCTAGGGCCAAAAAAGAATAAGGGCTATTCCCCACTCTTTGAGGAAGCCCTTCAGATTTTTTGCAATAACTATTAAATAATTCCCCTTCCTTCCTTCTCCAAGTATCCTTTTCTTCAGGCTAAACACTCTTCATCAGAGATTAACTAGGTTGTTCACCATACTGGTCTCTCTCCTCTAGAGGTCTTCTGACTCTGAATCCACAGATCTCTCCACCATTACACATTGTTTGCTGTTGTTGTTGTTCACTTGTGTCCATCTATTTGTGATCTCCTTTGGGGTATTCTGATCAAAGATTCTGGAGTGGTTTGCCATTCCCATCTCCAGCTCACTTTACAGATGAGGAAACTGAGGCAAACAGGGTTAAGTGACTTGCTCAGGGTGACACAGTTAGTAAGTATCTGAGGCCGTATTTGAACTCAGGAAGATGAGACTTTTTGACTCCAGGCCTGGTGCTCTATCCACTGTGCCACCTAAATGCCAAGATGAGTGAAGATGTAATGTATATCCCAGAGCAAATTGACATGTGGGTATAAAGGAGATATCTCACTGCTTTGCCTAGGAACAGCAATTCTGTGCACTTCTCTTTATGGCCCAGGTATAACCTTGCAGAAGAAAGACTAACCATTTGGGTATGGAATGCAAGCCTGTCATCACAGTGGATTTTATTTAATGGTAATATATCTAAATTCTCTATAGCTGACTGCACTGCTTTTCATATCTTAGCTTCATGGCTCTCAGTTCACAAGATAGAAACTGAGAGCTGACGAAAGGAGAAATCTGGAGAAGGGAGACATCAAATTCACGGAGGAGGGTTTTTTTTTTTTGGATTATAGATTTCAGTGATCGAATTCCTTTGTTAGTTGATTTTTCAGGTTGGTAAAATTTTCTACCCAACTAGTGCCTATCCACACCCCTTTGGTCAGGAAGAATCAAATTGCATCACTCTTTTAAAGAAGCTGGTTATCTTCCTTATGAAGTGAGAGGTTAACACTACTTTTCTTTCAGGTATTGAATCACCCAGTCAGAAAAAAATGGAGTAGGAATGAATGGAGACTACTTTTTCCCCATTAATCCTAGGAAAGGTAGAACCCTAGAACCGCTAGATATGATTTAATGGGTCCAAAGAGGAAAATCAGCTTCATTGAACTCTAATCATTTTATTTTCTGAATAACAATGAGAGTCTTAACTAGAAATTTTGCAAATAGTTTAAGAGAGGTATGGAAAAACACAGGAAGAAACCTTGGACATTGTAAAATGAAGCCCTATGGGAACAAAAATCGCAGGATGCTATTCTCATGGGTGGAATTTTTTAGGTTTGCTATTGAAAAAGCTGCTGCTGGGCAAGAGACTAGGATTTGGCAGGACTGAGTGGGAGCTCCCCCAGGGCACAGCCACAAATGCATTATCTCATAGCTTTCCCCTATTATAGATAAGCATACTTGTTAACTAGATGCTAAATGTATTTCTTTCTACTTGCCAAAAGCATACAATCTGTTTAAATTTTGACACCTCAGGACAAAGTCCCAGTAGCCTCACCCTACTCACAACTCTGGTCTCATGTCAGGGAGGGGATCGTAACCCCTTCCCATATGCACATTCACTTACCACTCGTCACTCTTGTGTGCAACCGAAGACTTTCATGTGACACATGTCTTAGGAATAAAATTGTGTTACAACACAGATAACACCAATTTAAGAGGTTTCTGAGAAGTATGGATAAACATGCAGCCAAAGTGATTCTTTTTCCAACTTTTTAAGCAACTATTTATTCAGGAAAAAAAGGAAAAAAAAATATACTCTAGAAGAGCATCCCATCACTCAGCCATAGCATGTTTTCACTCAAAAAGAATAATGAATTCTGACTTATGAAAATAGTCTTGGAAGCTCTAGGAGCTAGACCAAAGAAAGTAATAACAACTAGCATTTCTATAACACTTAACGTTTCCATAACCTTTTAGAGTAATTGTGTCCAATGTATATAAACATACAGCATCAAAAACAAAAAAAGGAAAACATTAAAATAACAAATCAATGTGCATCTAACGAGTTCAACAATTGTTTTAAAAATGCTTAGTTTTAATCCTTTAAAATTAATTTAATCAAGGAAAAACTACATTCTATATTTTAGATTAATTTTATATTATTATGTAACATCATTTTTGGGTCACAGTATTTATACCATAGAGATTGCAAGTCCCACTAAATAATAAAGCCTTACTTGATTATAGTAATATAAGTAATCTATTTTGCATATTAAAAAAAACTTTGTCTAAACTAAGTACATTGGAGACTTAAGTGAAATATTTATATTTGGTTATGTGAGAAATAATAACACTGTGGAACTTTATTGTTTTTCAGATCCGAAGTGGATTAAGAGAATTAATTCTCTACTTCAATTTGTCTGTGCAACATATAACAGCATTCTTAAATCATACCTTTCCACATAGTCTAACAGACGAGAACAGTGATTTGAAGCAGGTGCATCATGGCCTCCTACTGCATAAAGAAAACCATCACAGGTGGCCACTCCTACTCCTCCTCTTCTTTTACACATTGGTGCACACATGTTCCATTTGTTGGTATGAGGGTCATAGTATTCCATGGAACTCAAACAAGAGCTACCATCCCGGCCTCCAACTGAATATAACCTAAAATACAAAAATAAGAAAGATGTTTTAGACATGTGAAGAATTGATGTAGCCTGAGTGGAAAGGAAAACATGCATAATTGTAGTTGCTTTCCATCTGTTAAAAACTGCTCTTCAGTAGCCTATTAGTTCATTAAAGAAGCATTTATTAAAAAAAAAACTACTAAGTTCAAAGTGATGCAATAAATACAGGTAAATTGAAAGATAAAGAAAGCATTCAAAAATGAAGAAAAAATAATTATAAGCTTCTCCTTCAAAGAGGGCAAACTTTCCAAGCTCACTGAAAGTTAAAAAAAAAATTCTTCATTTTTGGGAGGAGATGTTTTGCAGATTGATAAAGATATCTTATATGCTCACCAGGACTTTGAATAATAGTTTTGGTAAAGCCTCGAATGAAAAATTGAGTTTTATCAAGAAAAAAAATATATTTTCCTAATGTTCACTACTCGATCTTTGTATTTTGTTGCAAATTATAAGCTTTCCTATGTAATAATGCAGAACAACTATTTTCCTGTTTAGATTGATCTCTCTGTTATTCTAACTTTAAGAAGCCTATACTTCACTGTATAAAATGAATAGCAATCACTTTATTTATTTTTAAAATTAATTTATTGATTTTTAGTTTTCAACATTCACTTCCATAAGCTTTTCAACATTCACTTCCATAAGCTCCCCCTTCCTTACTCCTTCCCTGCCCAAGATGGCATACATTCTCATATAGGCTCTACAATCTCTTAATTTATCATGGTCTTTTAAAGATCTTTTTCCCCCTGAGAGTTAATATGGCTATATTGCAGCAATATTTTGTCAGTTCTTAATATTTTTCTTCTTTAACACACTTTCCTTTGTTTTTTGATATAATTAATCCTGTTTCACTGCAGGCTTGAATGATTCTTGAAATGCTTGATTTCCCCAAACCCACAATTACTGCAATATCTCTAATAGTAATTGAATTATGAACTTTAAAAGCTATAACTTTGGAGCATTTCCTTAGAGTAATATCCATACTTAAAAACCAAAGATTTTAAAATAAAATAAAAGAGAGCAATGAAGTGTGTGTGTGTGTGTGTGTGTGTGTGTGTGTGTGTGTCTGTAATATATAGCAGGAAATCTAGCACTCAAGTGATAAAGTACGAGTTGAAAGTGAGGAAACCATTGCAATTTTATTTCATATAGTTATGTTCAGATGTCTTGAGTCAGTATAGTGTAAGAAGTATATACTCAATGTAATTACTATCACAAAATGTAATCCTATCAAAAGTATTGATTGTCTTAAGTAATTTACATACCATTATAAAGATTTTAATATAGTAAAATCTGATTGACCATTGATACAGCAGTGGAAATAAGAGCACTATTTTTTTTAAACAACGGTGATTTCTATTATCTTTCTCACTACCCCAAAATATACCCTAAAGAGATAAGTGAAGACCTGAAACTACATACAAATAAGAATAGGAACATATATGCCATTATATATATGTACATGTATATATTTACGCATGATATATATTTATATATTTGTGTATATATGTATATATTTGTGTATATGTATATATGTGTATGGGTATGTGTGTGTATGTGTGTGTGTGTATGCATCCAAGAGATTATATAGCCAAGTAGATAAGAAGCTGGTCACAAAGATAGAAAGACTGGAAGCGATTGGTTCAGATTCAGATTCTTTTGAATGAAGTTCTAAAATGTTTCTAAATACACTTCACCCAAGAATTAATCAGAAAATATAGTGCTTAAAAGGAAAGTGTTTGAAAATGCACTCCTGAGAAGACACATTTCAAGATAGAAATGGTTAAGAAAATGGTATAATTGTCAAGTAGTAAATGGTATTATTGTCAAAAGTAGAGCCAGCATTCCACTACTTTTCTCTACAGAAGTAGAATATTTTGGGATTAGGAGTCAGAACTGTAAAATAGCTCAGTTTAGTGAAAGTCTAGATTTTTGGGGACAACAATAAGTTAGGTTAGTGAGGACAACTATTTTTCTCCTACAGATTTTCCAGAACAATTGTCAATAGTTATAACCAAGTCATTAAAGTGTGACGTGAAGCTTTTCTCCAAAATTTTTATTTTTTTCTACCAGATGAAAGAAGTGTCATTGATAGTATTGCCATTTCCTTCCTAATCTGTTTTTTTTTAAATTAAGTGAGTTTCATTGAAATCCTCATTATTTTCCAAAATGGAGAATTAGCCTTTTTGTTTCTTCTCCCCTTAATATCTATTATTTCCAGAAAGTTATCATATTTTAAAAATTTTGTTGCTGAAACTGTTAAAAGATTTCCTTGAGCTAATCATTTTATACAAAATATAAGAAAATGCTAAAATGGCCTATTGAAAATTATCCTAATGATGGAAATAGCGATTGTTTTGTCTAGTGAATTGCAATAAGTTTGCTAATGTTGACCTCATGCCTACTTTGTCATTGTTTCATAATGTACACTAAAGTGTGGCATGTTCAATGAACAATATTAATAACTCTTTGGTGGTACTATCTCAAACATTTCAAAACATCAAGAATTCTAGATGAGAATGTCCAAATTAAAGGGACTAAAATATTAGGTCCATGCTATTCACTATGGGTCATCTATGACTGGGGTGTAGAGCAGGGAATCAGGAACAGAAGTACCACAGATCCTGCAACTTATATCATTAAAATGACTGTGAATAAATTAGAACAAGTGAATATAATGGAACAAGCCCATTTCAGTCAATTATCTAGCTAATTATATGTAGTCTATGTCTTATTCTGCCCACTCTTCTCCACTAGTAGAATGTTTTGCTTAATTTGTTTGGACGACAACTTTATGTCAGTATTCTCCCTAGATAGACAATTACACAACCATTTTTCCTAAGACCATTAAATCACTCAGGTCTGCCTTTTGAATCTGTTCTGTGAGAATATTTAAAAAAAATATTGATCAACTACAGTTCACATTTGAAAAGTATTGTTCCAAATGTTTTTAATATTTCCCATCATAAAAATATTTGTAATTGACCTTAGTGTTAACTTTCCACATATATTGCTCATTAAGTTGGTTTCTAACTAGTTGTCTTCCTTGGAGCACAGTGAAGGTAACCAACGGAACATTATAAAGTCCAAGAATTCACAATTTAGGCTACAAAAGCTCCCAGCAGTGAAACAATTATTCACATGGAAGCTTTTATCATCTTAAACACTCTGAATTCTGACCAGAATTTATTTCCATGTTTCATTAAAATTGAAGATGTGCTGGATATCAACATCAAGGAAGTACATTATAACCTCTAGATCTTCAATAAATCCATAAGTTTTGACGTAAGTAAGGTAACTGAAGTTCCCCATGTCACATTAATTTTCTTTTCTATTTACTAAAGGGAATAGGGATTCCCAAGCATTTTGCAATATTTATTCATAAATAAGTTATAATGATCTATGAAAAGCTCATCAGTAGGTTGGCTCTAAAGTAATGACTTGATCACAGAAACTCAAATACCACTTATCAAGCCGTAAAGGAGCTATTTTCTGTGCCAGTGGAAGAACACAAGCCAATATTTAACAATGGATCCTTGAAGACTTGAATTAAGTAACAATGATAAGCTATGCTACCAATTTAACCCAAGACCATCAATTCAAGTGAGTAAATTTCTTCAGTATTCAAGGACCTACAGTTTCATTGGGGTTGACATTCTCTTTACCAATGCAAAAAGGAATTCCAATACATCTTTTCCCAGTTTTTCTCCTACTTCTCTTACTTGCTTCTCAAAATTCTTTTTGAGCTCTTCCATGGCCTGAGACCAATTCATATTTTTCTTGGAGGCTTTGGACTTAGGCAAAGACGGGTCCTCAGAAGACTTTGTTGTCTTCTTCTGGTTGTATGTTTTGATATTCTTTGTCACCAAAGTAAGATTCTATGGTCTGACTTTTTTTTTACACTGTTTGCTCATGTTCCCAGCCAATTACTTGACTATTAAACTCTTTGTTAAGGTAGGGGTCTGCTTCCAGTGTGAAGAATGTACTGTCCCAAGCTTCAGGGGTTTTTGTGCAGCTGTTTTCAGAGGTACCTGTAAATTTTCAGTTCTTCCAAGGTGGTATGATCAAAAGCGAGATGTTTACTCCTTTCCTGGCCTGTGCTCTGGTCTATGAGTGACCACAAGCACTCTTTTCTGGCTTGGAACTGTGAGGAGGATTCCCTCTTCACTGGCCACCACAAGCTCTACCATACCAGCTGTCCTCCTTGCCCCAAGACCACCAACCAAGACTGCAACTCAGATCCAAGCACAGACAAAGCAAGAGAATTCTGCCTCAGCACTGGCAAAGAGATCCCTGCAATCTCCCTCTGATCAACCACTCGATTCCCACCTCCGACTGTAGGCTAAGAACTCTGGAAGCAGCTGCCAACCCATGTCTGTGCCAGGACTGGGACTGAAATGAGCTCCCTTCTCACTGAGGGTTGATAGAAATTTCCTACTGACCTTCTGTGTTTTCCTTGGTGTTTGTGGATTAGAAGTCTGGAAACCAGGCACATCTCCTCTTGATTCAGTGCCCCAAGGCCTGCTCCAGGTTTGCAGAGGAACTGTCTTTGCCTACATAGCCCACCCTGAACTGCGCTCCTCTTCTAGCCCACCACAACAGATCTTTCCAATCAACCACCCAGGTTGTCCTGGGCTGGAAATTTATTATGCTCTGTCTTTTTGTGGGTTCTGCTGCTCCAGAACTTGTTTAGGGCCATTTTTTACAGGTATTTGGAGGGCTTGAGGGAGAGCTCAAGCAAGTCACTGCTTTGACTCTCCCATCTTGGCTCTGCCTCATTTCAATATAGCTTGATCCATGATCTTCCTGGTTTGCTTTAGCCAAGTTTTTGGTGATGGGATATTAACTAGGCCTATGGTTTTTGTGGTATAGGAAACTTCTAAGTGAAGAAACTTCCTTTACCAGCATAGGTTTGCAGTGTCTAGGCAACTTTAAGCTCTTGAAAATGGCTTAGGGATATGAGAGTCTTTGACTTGC